CCTTAGGGAAAGTTGGAAAGGGTGTAAAAATAGAAATTTTCCTTTTCTGCTCCCTTTTTGCGCCATTTTTCAGGCTGTTGTGCACCATTTTTTCCGCCTCTTTCTTTTATTGAGACTTTGAAATTCCAAAAAAATAGAAAGCTCGATAAAGGGACTCTTTTTGCAGCCTTTTTGCGGCTAATTTGGGTCCTTTTTGCGGCCATTTTGGAGTCTTTTTGCGGCCATTTTCCACCTTTCCGACTTTTCCCAAGTTTAGTCAAATCAAAATGTTAACAGAACAGTACTAAATTGACGGTATAAATGTAGAGGGAATGTAGGAAAATACATATTCTCATATCTTACTCAGGTAAACGTTGGGAAGCTTCTGCTTTCAGTTCTTCGGAAGGCGTTTGGAAGCTTGCCAGCAAAGCCTTCCACATAGCTTCCCAACACCTTCTACTTAGAAAAAATGCCTTCCAGAAGCTTTCCAGCAGGGTTCTGGAAGGCATTTTCTACTTCCACCTTCCAAAGACCTTCCAAGAACTTTCCGAGCACCTTTTGAAGACTTTTATAAGGCCTTCCAACTTCCTGCTGGTTACTTTCCCAGGATTTGCCTGAGTATAGTTCTCCTAGGCTTGTAAGATGAATTTCGGACATTTTTAATATCTTCTTCCGTTCAAAAGTCCCATTTTTCCTCAAATTTCCGTCTCCAGACACTCGAAAAAAGTCCACGAAGGAACGCCGTTGAACGAGAATCTCAGCTCGAATTCCAACCGCTCTTCTCCTTGTCCGTCCCCGGAGTTGAATGAAACCGGCTCCCCGGCTGTCGATACAATCACAACGAATGCCGAGGAGGTTTCAACACAAAAATGTCGACTTCAAACTGAGAAATAGTCGTTTTTGCAGTCGAAAACGGTCGAAAGTTCGATGATCACCGGGTTCGAATACGTCTTTTTGCTGTTTCTGACGGCGTTGGTCAATGCACAAATGAATGGGATCATTCCGAGTATTCAGAGCTACGCGGCGTTACCTTATTCACAGGTAAGAATGTTGTGTGAAGAAAAAAAAATTTCAGAATAACATCCAAGTCTTCAGGTTTTTTCGTTGTTTTTTGCCACTTTTCCGCCCGTAAAATCATTCTGGACATCATATTTGGCTTTTTTTCTCTTCATTATCAAACTAAAGTCTTTTTTGTTTCTTTCTCCCAGGTAAAAAT